TGATATATGAATATATTTGGATCGATGCTCCACACGAGTGTCACTAGTCCAGCTTGTTTCTACCACATTAAACCAACATTGGGACTAAGTCTCCAAATAAGGGTTGAGTTACCACTGTCAGCGACCTCTCTTATGGGATTAACCCCATCTCCTCGATGAATTCAGAACCACACTCCTGGATAGTCCCTTAGTCAAAAGGTCAATAAGATTCTTTTTAGACTTTACAAAGTCTAGAATCATAACTTTGCCTAGTAGGCATTGTATATATTTATCAAGTTATTTTATAATTAGTACTTTATTTGACATTAGGTCCCCTTCTTGTTTAAGCCATTTTTCAAATCAATCTTTCCAGGAAAGAGTACAGGTAGCAAGAGGAGGGATTGATTTGAAACAACTTATAAGGATAAATGGACCTAATAGCAATTTTAATTATTTGATGGACTAATTTCAATATAACTTCAGTGATTTTGAACTTTTCTTCATCATATAGATAGAAGATATAAGATATACCTATTGATTTAATTTTCCAAGACATTGATTCATTACATCTCCTGTAACTAGGCATATTAGTTGACAGAGCATATTTATATCAACTCTAATCATTTCCTGAAATCTCATGAGAAAGCATTACATGTAGTTAAATGAAGAGCTATAAAAATTACTCTTTCTAGTCAATATTAAAATGATAGGACATCAAAACATGTTAGCATAAAAGGTCATGGTCTATGATCATAAAAATTATAGTCTATGTCTGAATATGTAACTGCATAGAGTTTGTGCAGATTAGAATTCGGCCTTAATATCTAAATATTTCAAACTAATATGAAACTAAAATACTGTAGTTATATCTTTACATGCATGCATATGCACATACATGAATAAAATTACTAATAGTTACATGCAGAATAAAATTACTAATAGTTACATGCAAAGCATTCAAGAGAACCATATAATATGATTTCATATATTAAAGTATATTTCGTATTTCATATGCATAAATTTTAAATTCTCGTATTATAAGAAGTTGCAAATTTGTTGCTTACAAGGGAGACCTTCCAAATTTAAATTGGTTGCCTACAAAAGAAACCTTCCAAATTTAAATTGGTTGCCTACAAAAGAGACTTTCTAAATTTAAATTTATGCATATGAATTATTCTCATAATTCCGGTCCTCTTATTCATGCTTGAATATAACATGTTTCATATTGAAATATAACAATTATCAAATAAAAGGGTTTAAGAATATACAACTTACCATTTGATATGGATGTGCTATTAGTATCAATCTTGAGTCCAACTCTAGTATTGACTTCTTTAAGTTGGTTTACAATGAGTTTGGTATACATCAATTAATGAATTAAAGTTTTTAAAAATCATATTAGCAATATTGCTCATGTATCTTGGCAGGAAATTAATTAACAATGGATTCACACAATAAACATTTGGTAACGGTTTCCTTCTTTGCGATTGAAAAAGCAAAAAGGAATTAACAATAAATAATACATTTGAGCATTTATGTTAGCAATTACATAGTCATATTAAGCACAATTTATTATTGTGACTGATGTAAATACAATACTTTAGGAGGGGAAAGTAATTAGATTAGATGAACAATAATAAAATTGCTTAATAAATGTAAATACAATACTTTAGGAGGGGAAAGTAATTAGATTAGATGAACAATAATAAAATTGCTTAATAAATAGAAAAACTCCATCGAGTGAACAGTAACCCTCGGTGAACAGTAAGAAAATTTTCCTTTTTTTAATTTTAAGAACAACTAAATTAAATTATTAGTTAACAAATAAACAAGAGCAAGTAAAGCAAATTACAACAAATTAACTATTATTAATTTTCTCTTTTTTTAACAGAAAGAAATATATATTTTTTCAGATGAACAGTAAAAATGATGAACAGTACTTTTAATATAAATTTTTTTCCGAAATATATATTCTTCTAGATTGTTAGAAAAAATCAAATAAACTTAAATTAGCATGTAAATTAAATCCAAATAAAAATAAATAATTAAATCCAAATAAAAATAAATAATTAAATCTAGCCTGATTGGGAGCAGTCGTGTAATCACTGTCCTAGAAGATTGAGGACCCGCCTATCGTCCTGGCGCAGATGATCCCCTCTCCCCTAACGATAAAAACCCCCGGAATCAGCCGGTCTCTCTACTCGAGCGAGAGTACAGAGCTTCTGCTCAGATGACGAAAGTTGCCCAAAAATAAAACCAATACTATGAAGAAATAATATGAACATGAGAGAAGAGACTTGTTGTTTTCCTTATCAAAACCGAGCTCAACATACGGCTATATATATATGGTGTTGGAAAGAGATGTTACAAAACCCGCAATTAATACGGTAACGTTCCTCATAAATTTTGTAACGTTCCTCATAACTATATAGCCGTTACATATATTTTTAATTGCTAATTAAAACTTGTTTTAATTACAAAAATTTATTACTATTCATGAAGGCAAAATTGTCTTTTCTTAACAAAATATCTAACAATTTTAGCATATGGGTTTCTCTACTGCTTTGCATGTTTGACACCTGTTCTTTAATTGTTGCCATATATCGTTTAATTACGATATGATTTTTGTTTAGGCGTAACATGAGAAAACCCCCCTTAACTTTGAACGATTATCAGAAAACCCCACTTAACTTTTAAAATATCAGAAAACCCACCTTAAGTTTAGTAGTTATCAGCAAACCCCCTTTAATTTTAAGGTTCTATCAAGAAAAAAAACCCCATAACGACGTTATCCCTCATTATCCAAAATTACCAATAGACAAAAGTACACCTAGCCTACATATATATTATCTGTGGGCGAGTTTTTCCTGCAAGAAAGCATATTAATGCGTAAAACTAAATTTTAAATTTTTTCATCTAGTAGGGGTTAAGTTCGTAACTGGGGAGTGTTTCTATTTGCTGAGAATTTGGGATAATAAGGGATAACACAGTTAGGGGGGTTTTGTGATAAAACCTTATAGTTAAAGGGGGTTTTCTGAAAACCCCTAAACTTAAGGGTTTTTTTTGGTATTTTGAAAGTTAAGGGGAGTTTTCTAATAATTATATTAAGCCTTTTTAAGTGAAGGTTTAGAATGAGCACAGCTTTCATCGGAGGGTATGAACAAATTATAATATCATTCCGATATCATTAGATGTCTTTTATTAAACCATTAGGTACCGTTTGGCAAAGGGTTAAGTGAGGGGTTAAGGAGACTTAACCCCTTCTTAACCTGCCAAACACAACAAATCTATATAAGGGTTAAAGTATAGTGAGAGAGCTCAAATACCACTATTATCTTGATTATTGTTAGAGATCTCTTCCACTCATCAAAACTTTGAAGTAATTAAGGAGATGGGCTAGGATAATGTATTTGGCCCCAGTGCACTCAAAATTATTAATGCTATTTGAGTCATGAGTCCAAGCGTACTTAACTATGTATCATCCTATCTCGACCAAACTCACATGCATAATCGTCTGGTCGTTTCCGTTTTAAGATTATTCGTACAATTATCTAGTGCAGGGAGTGAGAAAATGGAGGCCAGCGAGATCAAATCCATAGAGATCAGCCTTAGCTATAATCTGACAGCGGCAAACTACGTGAGCAAGATCGACATGATGCGTCAGGAGAACGCAGCGACTTGGTGTCGCAATCGTCCTGTACTCCCCACTGTAGTCGACGAAAAGGATCCTGGTTGGGTGAAGAAGCTCACTTGGTACGACATTGTACTGGTTTTCAATGATGGGAAGAGTAGGGTCAGGCTGAGGATCCGACGTGACCATCTCTACTTACAGGGCTTTAGCCTGAACAACGACGGTAAATGGTTCGAGCTGGGAAATAAGCACCTGATCGCTGAAGACTCAACACTTCTTGGTTACGGGCATAACTACAATGACCTGTTACGCGTAGCTGGCATCGAGACAACAGCAGGTCTCACCGGAGTCACCTTTGGGCGACAGAATCTCATGAACGCGGCACAATGGCTTCAAAACCCACCAAACGACAAGAAAAGACCCGAAGCGCTGCTCATTGTGATTGGCATGTTCTGTGAGTCTTCAAAACCCACCAAACGACAAGAAAAGACCCGAAGCGCTGCTCATTGTGATTGGCATGTTCTGTGAGTCTACGAGGTTTATTCCTATTAGTAGCTATTTTAGGAGGGCTCTCTGGATGTTGTTTGTTCTATGATGCGGATCCTGCCTATAAATGGGTTCCTCAGACACTTGAGGTTGAGGGACCAACACCGAATTATTATCCAGTAAAGGTTGTGGCTCAAACCCTCGTTGAACTGTTTGAAAGAATTTTCCGTGATTATTCTCATTGCTGGACTTGGTTAATATACCAATTGTACAATGTAATGTTAGGCTAGGAATAAGGAGCTAATTACACCAAAATATATTCTAATCTATTCTAACCTAAATTGGGAGATTACAAAATCTTCAAGAATAATATTTACATAATCTATCACACCCCCGCAGTCAAAACGGGAGGTTTACGAACGCTGAGACTGTCCCGAAAATCTTCAAATAAGACCTGTGGAAGTCCTTTAGTGAAAATATCGACAATCTGATATCGGGACGGAACATGAAGGACACGAACCTGTCCTCACGCAACCTTCTCACGAACAAAGTGGATGTCCATTTCAATGTGCTTGGTGCGCTGATGTTGCACTGGATTTCCTAAAAGATAAATGGCACTCACATTGTCACAATATACCAATGTAGCCTTATGAATAGGACAATGTAATTCCAAAAGAAGATTTCGGATCCAGCATGACTCAGAGACAACATTAGCAACCCCCCTATACTCCGCCTCAGCACTCGAACGAGAGAGAGTAGGTTGGCGTTTAGAGGACCAAGAGATCAAGTTATCCCCAAGAAAAACACAATAACCAGACGTCGACCGACGTGTGTCAGGGCAACCCCCCAATCAGCATCAGTGTAGGAAAGGGGGTTAGTAACTGAAGATGGATAGAGATGCAAACCATAATCAAGTGTACCCTGAATGTACCGGATAATGCGCTTAAGAGCATGCATATGATTGTCTCTCGGAGCATGCATGTGTAAGCAAACCTGTTGAACAGCATAAGAAATATCCGGCCGCGTGAAAGTAAGATATTGAAGTGCACCTGCGAGACTGCGATAGTGAGTCGGATCATCATACGGATCACCCGAAGTGCTGCTCACCTTCGGTTTAGTATCAACCGGAGTAGAAGTAGCCTTACAAGAAGACATGCCAGCACGATCAATGATCTCCTCAACATACTTTCGCTGCGAAAGAAACATACCATCCTTATGGTGAGTTACAGCAATGCCAATAAAATAATTCAAAGGATCTAAATCCTTCATAGCAAATTCCGAGGCAAGGAGAGCCATAATGGAGCAACGGAGAGAATCTGAGGACGCAGTAAGAATAATATCATCAACATAAAGTAAAATGTATGCCATAGCGGACCCCTTTCTGTAGATGAACAAAGAGTTGTCAGATCTGCTGTTCGAAAAACCAATGGAAGAAACATAGTCTGCAAAACGTTTATACCATGCCCTCGGGGCCTGCTTAAGTCCATATAAGGACTTACGGAGCAAACATACATAATCTGGATGAGTGGGATCCCTGAAACCCATAGGTTGATGCATATACACTGTTTCCTTGAGCTCACCGTGAAGAAAAGCATTCTTGACATCTAGTTGATGGATGGACCAATTCTTTGACAAAGAAAGGCTAAGAACTGTACGGATCGTTGCCGGTTTCACCACCGGACTGAAAGTCTCACCACAATCAATGCCAACCTGTTGAGTTTTGCCATCACCTACAAGACGGGCTTTATGCCTCTCAAAATCACCATTAGACTTTTCTTTATGAATAAGAATCCACATAGAACAAATAACATTCACATTAGGTGGATGGGGCACCAACTCCCACGTCTTATTTTTAATAAGAGCATCAAATTCATCATCCATAGCCAATTTCCAATTCGGGTCACGAAGGGCGGTCAAAGGGTTACGAGGTAGAGGGGATTTCGTAACCGTGGTATTTAAGTTAAACGGACGTTTAGGCTTAAAAATACCATGTTGACTTCGGGTCACCATTCGGGGCTGATTTGTAGAAGTGGGCTGCAGGGAAGACATTTGAGTGGGTGAGGAGGGGTGCGGTTCAGATGACTGTTGGGCTAAGGGAGGAGAAGTTGGAGAGGGTGGCTGGGCAGTTTGTAGCAAGGGAGAAGCCTGCTGGGCTTGTATTGGCTAGGCTGCAACATCCAATTGCAAATGATGAACAATATATGGGTTAATTCCATCATCCAAAAAATCATATGTGTGAGAAGGTGGTGTATGTAATTTGGAAAATGGAAAAACACTCTCATCAAAAATCACGTGACGACAAATAATGATTTTGTTAGACAATAAATCATAACAGTTGTAGCCTCTATGGTTCGAAGGATACCCCAAAAAGACACAAGGTGTAGACCGGGCTTGCAACTTGTGAATAGTTGTAGATGGAAAGAGGGGGTAACACAAACACCCGAAAACCCGAAGATGAGAATAAGATGGTTTCCGTTGGTAAAGAACTTGGAGAGGAGAAATATGACCCAATAGTTTGTTCGGTAAAATGTTAAGAAGATATGTTGCCATTTGTAATGCGTGATGCCAAAGGGACGCGGGAAGAGATGCATGAGAAAGGAGAGTCCTAGTGATATTATTGATAGAGCGAATTTTTCTTTCGGTTTTACCATTTTGTGAAGATGTATGAGGACAAGAAAGACGGAAAGACATCCCATTAGACTCACAAAATTTTCCGAATTGACCATTATCATACTCCCGCCCATTATCACATTGGACACTTTTGATATTACGCTCAAACTGGGTTTGAATATGGGCCTTTAAAGCTGAGAATTTTGCATACACATCGGATTTCTTAGCCAAAGGAAAAGTCCATAAAAATTCGAGAAATCATCCAAGAATAGAACATAATACCGATGACCCATTGAACTTAAAACGGGAGAGGTCCACCAATCACTATGAATAATATCAAAGGGCAACAAAGTTTCGGAAATAGACGAATCAAAAGGCAACTTAATGTGTTTACCAAAAACGCAAGAACGACAAATACTAGAACTACTAGATTTATGACATTCAATGCTTTTATTGAGCCTAAGACAATCCAAAATAGAAGCTCCCCCTCCCGGGTGACCCAAACGATCATGCCAAAGGGGAGAGGACAAAGCTGCAAAGGTTGATGGGGTAGTGGATGGATTTTTGATGGTGGTGATTGGATAAAGGTCGCCCCGGCTATCACATCTCATTAGTGCCATCCCCGTCCGGAAATCCTTCACAGAAAACCCATAAGGATCAAATTCAACAGTCACAGAGTTATCAGTGGTAAACTTACGAACTGAAATTAAATTCTTAATGAGTTTTGGAGCATGAAGGACATTTTTCAAAGATAAAGGTGGGTTCGGGGGAGACAATCTAGTGTGACCACAACCACGAATTGGAATCGAATGACCATTACCAACAAAAATACCATTATGATGATTGCTCAAATTAAAATAAGACGAGAGATTACCATTCGTGGATGTCATATGAGACGTAGCACCGGTATCCATGTACCAATTTTGATCGGGTGGGTTCAAAGTCATCGTGTGCATTGCGGATTCAATATCCGTCGGAGCATATGAAGTAGGGGGTCCAGTTGCTGCATGGGCTTGCTGTGGGCGAGAGCCTAGAATTCCAGCCTGCCTAATTGGGCTAGAAGATGGGCGAGCCCAACCGACAGATGGGTAAGGACATAGGGGAGGAGCCCAATTTGGAATCCAACCCCATGGAGAAGGAGCAGCGTATGGCATTGCAGGGGCATGCCACTGCTGTGCCGGAGCCTGCTGCTGACCACCGCCGGAGCCACGACCGCGGCCGCAACCACCTTTGCCGCCACGACCATTGTTTTTCCGGCCACCAGAACCACCGGAACCGGACTGTTTGTGATGCTTGTTTCTACCCCGATTTTGACCCGAAATCTCATAGGAGGAAGAATCATCATACTCTTTGTGTGAAGCAGCCACCATAGCCGAGTGATGCGGCATAAACATGTACCAAAAAGGTTACAAGTGTACAACCGTGTCAAGTTATAGTATTTAAGATATCAATTCCACGAGGAAGGTGTTTTGTAGGAGAAAATATGAATTCGGTTCTTATGTTGTGTGCGTGACAAGTAGGAGTGATAAGTGAATGTGATTGTGAAGAGATTGAGAGAGTGAAAGTGGTGTGTAAATAGGTGCAAAGTGTAAATGAGTATGATCAATAAGGTGAGAAGGAAAAATGAATAAAAATCAAGAAACAAATAAAAATTCAAGAATGAAGAACAAAATTCTAGAATAAAAGAAAATGCAAGAAATTAAAGATGGTGGATTCAATTATAGATATGGGTAATCTAAAATTGAACCCACTTCTTAGAAAAAGGGTGATTCCCTAGAGGGTTCTAGCCTAAAGGCGAATCAAACAAAATAAAAATAAACAAAAAGAAAAACTAAACCCAAGAGGGTTCTAGCCTCAAGGTGAATAGTATAAGAAATTAAAATCTAACTACAAAATAAATTGCAAAATCTAAACTACAAAATAAAATTGCAAGAATTAAATGCAAGAAAATAAATCTACTCTATAAGCATGAAAATAAATCTAATCTATGAGCATGAAATAAATCTAAGGCAAGAGGGTTCTAGCCTCTTGGCTATTTAACAAGAAAATAAAATCTAACTACAAGCATAGAAATAAATCTAAACTAATAAGCAATAAAAGAGAAAAAGAAAAGAAATGCAAACCTTCAAACAATTCTCCATCTTCATCTTCATCTTCATCATCCAACAAAGAGAAGAAGAGAAAAATTTAAAGTGGTGAAAAAATTATTATTATTAATTACAACAAAAAGTTACAATTTTGGAAGGCCTTCTCAATTAAGAGTAGCCCTCCTCTCCAAAAGGAGTTACAAAAATTTTCACACCTCTAACCCCTCACTCTCTACCCCTATTTATAGTAATCTTCAATGAATATGAGCCATTGGATTTGTCTTGAGCCCCAAGCAACAATCTCCACCTTTGATTTTCTCAGCGGAATAATTCTTAAAGTTTTGAATGCTGTTCCTAACTTTAACCGTTTTATGAATAGGAAAAATTTCTTAAGAAAAACGGTGACAAATTCAATCCTAAGTTGAGATGAATTGTTGGTAGCTGTACAGCCGATTTTCTAGGCTTACTTCAAGAGCAAATGGAATAAATCTAAGCTTACATCGGCATCTTCATGTTAATTCTTCATTTTAATCATAATAACACACTTTCCTCAAATTCCGAATAAAAATATATGCGTCTTCTGTTATCATTACAAGGAATTGGGAAGTCATTTATGTATTGGGTCTAGAGCTCAAACTTATTCTATTTGTTTCGGGGAGCCCTAATGCATGAGGTGATTGCATTCATTAATAGGATACGCACTAATATGAAAGAACCCCGGGTGGATTAGGAATGCTCCATTTCTATGATTGGTTCAAAGCAGAATAGATTCGATGTGTATTATCCTAATCACTGTTGCATACACCAAAATATTTCTTTTTAATTTTTTATTATTTTTTTTTAAAGAAAGAAGAAAATTAGTTTTTTAGAAGATAAAGAAAAAGAAAAATTCCTAACTGAAACAATCAAAACAACTTCACTATTTCATCAACTCTAATTCTTAGGGTTTAGCCACTCAACTAGACAGTTTCCTAACCAAAAACTCTACAGTGAACAGATCAAAAGTTTTACCCCAGGTAGTTTAGCCATGGTAAGGATAGTACTAGAGGGTGATTAAAGATATTAGTCTCTTTCGATTGCGGAGCGCATACGCAACCCCTAAACCTTGCCTTAGACACCAATAATCTGAGAAACTTAAACCGGTTCACTTAAGGATTTCTTGTTCTTATTGAGCTCGAATCTTAGGGCAATGTCCTAATGAGTGCTTTATGTAGGCTTGGGTAGTGTATTGAGGCAATTAGTGATTTTTTGGCTAAGGAAAGGGTGATGAAATGCGCTCACCTTTCTTATATGGGTTTTGCCTAAAAATGATTTTTAAGTGTGTGTCAAATCAAGATGGCTCAAATACTGGTTGAATTCCTACACTATATGAATGCACCTATGAATTAACAGCAACTAAAAAGGATGGAAAAAATCTTTTTTTAATTAGGGTTAACAATCAAACAAATGAAAGGGGATTTGTTGAATTTATTATCTTTGTTAGTAATGTCAAGTGGAGGATGATTTATTATGGTGCAACAAAAATAAAATCTCTTTTTTTTTAAGTCCAATTGTCTCTAATGTGAAGAAGTAGCTATAAGGTGGAATATAAAACTAAAAGAGGACTTAACCTGAAAAGCAATCTCAATCCTAGCTCTCCAATCGCGCGATCTTCAAGCTGCCAGCGTTTCTCACAAAACACACAAGTAAGAACCGAAAATAATTAAAATCTACTTAACACCTCCACGGCAACGCGCTAAAACTTTCTTTTTTTTTCTTTTTTTTCTCTTTTTTTTTCTTTTTCTTTTAAGCAACTGAACAAGAAACTCTCAAATGAGAGAAGAATAAATTCTTTTTATTATTCTGAAATAAACAAAATAAACAATGTAGAATGAAATATTCAACATGAAGAGTTCCTGTTCTACATTGAATCCTACCTTACTGTTGAAAATTCTTCCCCGGATTTTAAACAAATTCAGAATGATATAATCAATAATGTGAATTTTTAAGCATTTCGGGGTGTTCAATAATTCTTGCAACAAGGTAAGGTAGGTATTATTGGTGTCATGCATTTTGTATTTCTTAATGAACTTAGACTCTTGTACTGTGAAGTTTTGTTTTCTAACAACCAATTCTTCTGTGAAGTTCTGAAAATTTGGTTGTTGATTATTCTCCAAGAATCTAAGTTCATCAAGAAAGAGTTCT